CGTGATCTGATTTGGGTTCGCCTCGATTCCTCGTTCGGTTACTAGGTAACCGAGGACTTCACCTGAGGTGACTCCAAAGGTACATTTAGCTGGGTTGAGCTTCATCTCGTATTGGTTTAAGATTTTGAAGCACTCCCTAAGTTGTGCGACGTGGTCTGTGTCTCTCAAAGACTTGACCAGCATGTCGTCTATGTAGACTTCCATGGTTTTACCGAGTTGGTTAGCAAACATTTTGTTCACTAGCCTTTGATAGGTTGCTCCTGCGTTTTTCAGGCCGAAGGGCATTATTTTGTAGCAGTAGGTACCTCGATCGGTGATGAAAGCTGTTTTCTCTTGGTCTTCCGGACTCATCTTGATCTGATTGTATCCGGAGAAGTCATCCATGAAGGACAAGAGTTGATGGCCAGCTGTGGCCTCGACCAGGCGGTCGATGTGTCGAAGTGGGAAGCTGTCTTTTGGACATGCTTTGTTTAAGTCGGTGAAGTTGACGCATACTCTCCACTTTCCATTTTTTTTTTGATGACCACGGGGTTTACTAACCAGTCGGGGTATTTCACCTCTCTGATCGATCCCACTTAGACTAGTCGGTCTACCTCGTCATTGACTACTTTAGCTCGATCTGGGCCGAGCTTGCGGCATTTCTGCCTGACGAGTTTGATGGTTGGGTCGATGTTGAGTTCATGTGCGGCGACCTCTATATCGATGCCCGGCATGTCTGCGGTGGACCATGCGAAAGTGCTTAGGTTTTCTTTCAGAAAATATATTAGCTCGACGCGGATTGTTTTCGTGAGATCGTCCCCGATTCCAACACACCTTTCGGGATTGGCGTCGTCTATGCATACTTGCTCGATTAGTTCTGTTCGAGGCTTGCATACGGAAGGGTCTTTATTGTGTTTGAGTTGTCGGACTGCGAGCTCCTCCTCTTTCAGTAATTGCTATACGGGAGCTTTCTCAGCTCACAAGAAGCTACCCATTTAGCAATCCCTTGAGGCTCGTTGGGAGCCGCGTATCGCTTTGGTTCATCGCGTAAGGCTACGGTCTGCCGAGTATGGCATTGAATAGAGCTGGGCGATCTACGATCACGAAGTCGATTGTTTTTATGACCCCACCGGCCTTAACTGGAAGCTGGATGGTTCCTAACGAGTAGGTGGTTTCTCCTGCGAAGCCCATGAGTGGAATTCGATCGTTTGACAGCATGGACGTTTGGTATCCCATGCGTCTAAAAGCATTGAAGAACAGCACGTCTACCGAGCTACCGATATCGATCATGACCCTTGTGAGGTCGAAACCGCCTACAGCGATCCGAATGACAAGTGCGTCATCATGTGGTTTGTCTAGAGACAGCGTTTTGCTTTCTAGAAAGCTTATTTGGTGGTCGGGTCCGTCTATAGGTAGGTTTACGGTGGCAGACTCGGCCTTGCATTGATATGCTTTGATCGAGTTGATTGAGTCTCGGCACATCTTCGAGCCTCCGCAGATGAAGTCGATTTGCTTCATTGTGGGTAGCTCCCCCCCCCCCCCCCCCCCCCCCCCCCCCCCCCCCCCCCCCCCACCCCAAGAGTGAGCGATGCGTGAGCTAGAGCTCGCTTGAGTTTGAGGTGTTGAGAGTTGGGTGATGCTCGGTTTTGACGAGCTTCCAAGTAGTTTTAACAGGTGTCGCCTTACGACCTTATAGAGCCTGGTTGAGCCGAAACTCGATGGTTTCCTAGGTGCGGCTGGGGGGGGGGGGGGGGGGTGATTACTGATTTCATTGATCCACCGCAAAGGTTTAGGTCTCTGAAAATCAGGTCGATCCTTTTTCTTGCTGATGGAGGAGAGTCAGGGGTTTGGACTTCTTTGTCGAGGTCCACTTCCCTGTTTCGGGTCGAGGTCTTTTTGGGCTTTTCGCTTTTTCTCTCGGCCTTCTCGGCTTTTTTCTTGGCAAGCTTTTTCGCCAGGATTCTAGCTCGAGTTCAACCTTTCTCGGTGGAATGTCCGTTCTTTTTGTGGTGCTCACAATATTTGCTTTGGTCGAAGCTCGACTCCTCTTTGGGGGACGAGCTTTCTATAGCATATGAATACTGACCTTTGCCATGCGACTCCCTTTTGGGAGGTGGAACGTTAGCTTTCTTCGACCCAGAGGGTGCAAGGTGGAGCTGTGAGTTGCGGTATTTTGCTTCATCTCGTGGAGCAACGTGGAGCAGGCAGCCGTCTCGTTTTTGAAGTTTGCGTATATGGAGTGCGATGGAGCGCGTCTCCGCCTTGAACCTCGACTGGTACTAAAGGTTGGTTCAGAGGGCGATCAGGGCTATAGCTTCGTTAGGGTTAGTGATTTTTGCTTTGATCGCCTTGAATTTAGCAATATATGATCGAAGTGGTTCGTCCGGAGCTTGTACTAGCTTTCAAAGGTCGGCTTCGGTTTCTCGTTTTTTGATGAAAATCGAATATTGCTTGAAGAAGGCTACTGCGAGCTCATTGAAATTCGAGATCAAATTTTCTTCCAGCGTCGCGAACCATTCCTGGGCTGGTCCGACTAAGTTTTCAGCAAAGAGCCTGCAGTATCCTGCTTCTTTATCTTCTGGGGAGAACTTAGCTCGGATAGCTGCAAGGTTGAAGAGTCGGATGTGAGCTTTTGGGTCGCTGTTTCCAGCGTACTCCGGGACTCGTACTTTGGTAGTGTCTCGGAGGTATGTGTTTATGACCGAGTAGGTGAACGGAGTCCGTTGGGTCTTGTAAATTACTCGATCGATGTCGGGAGCCGAGCTCGTGGCTTGATGGAACATGGAGTTCATCTGCCGAATGGCATAGTCGGTCTGGTTCTGGGATCTTTCAAAGAATTCGCAGTCGACTAGGTTTCTCGAGCCGACGCCGAGGTGGTTAGCCCGAGTCGGATCATTTGGAATCTGAGTTCCGAGCTGTTGGTAAACGAACCCTATAAGTTGTTCGCGGATCCCGCTAGGAAGTCTCGAGCTCGAGGTCGTGTTTGGTTGTTGGCCAAACTGGGGTATTGTCTCCGAGCTCGAGGCGAAGGCCGAGGACCCAAGCCATCTCTGTCGAGGTGGCTCGGTTCCAGGTGGTCTTAAATGTGGAGATGGATATCTCATGTTGGGACGGGGACCCATTTCGGGTATTCCTGGTGTTGGCACAGGCGGAGATGGATATCTCGTCGCAGAACGAGGTCCCATCTCTGGTGTTCCTTGAGCTGGAATATATGTGGTGATTGGTTCTGGTTCACCGCGGGGGTGAAGTTTGGTGGACCTGGAGCACGCGGATGTGTCACGTATGGTCCGGGTGGATTACTCAGAGCAGGGATCGACAAAAAGTCGAGCTGAGTCCGTGGAGGTGGATTCGCAGCGGATCGAGCTGCGGCTTGACGCCTTTCCTGTCTTTCCTGTCTTTCCTGTCTCCTGATTTCGTTGTCGATCGATCAGATGTGTGAGCATTTGGAGTCTCTCCGCCGATTCTGATGTGCTCCTAGAAGCTATGGGTATCGGCGGGGAAACATGAGCTGCTTGGCTGTGAGATGCTGAAGCTGTAGGTGGATTCTCAGATCGCACCCAGGTTCGAGAGGGAGGCCTCTCGGCTGTTTGTGACTGATTGCTCGTCGTTCCCGGTGGGGTGACGAGGTTGATCACGAGCGGTTCCACTCGGCTGAGAACGTTGGAGTTCATGCCGGTGGTGTCGACGAGGGTCGTAACCCTGGGTTCGTTTCCGCCGGCTGTTTGGCTGACGTTGCCGGTCGGGGTAACTTGATCTGGAGAGATCGGAATCGGTGAAACGTTTCCCAAGGTTTGTTGAGGTGAATCCATTTTGGTTTCAGCTGCCTTAGGATCTGCTCTTGAGTAAGAGAAATCTATCGATCTTTTCCCATAGACGGCACCAAAATGTGGATACAGAAATCCACACTCAGAACTTTATGTGTTTTTGTAAGGAAAAAACTTTAGAGGATTAAGAGCTAGATTCTCTCGAACAGATTGACAATATAAGCTAGCACTAACTGAAATAAGGACTTAGTATTAATCGGTCGAATGAAACGGTTACAAGGATTTCGATGGAAAAGATGAACTGAAAAGAGCTCTGAGAGCAGTTACAAGGTTTTCAGGTAAAAATGGTGAAAATATCAAACCGAAAAGAAGTCTCGAAGAATAGAGAGATCCCCTAAAACTTGGCAGTTTGTGTCCTTTATATAGCTTGTCTCGTCGAGCTTCAACCTCCAGCGCATATCTCGGTCACGTGCAACAACTTCAACCGGAAATCTCGGCCACGTGCAGCAGCGTCTCCCGGAAATCTCGGGCTCGTTTGAACTGTTGAGAATATGCTCCGACTTAGTCCAGATTCTTCCTTATTCTTCGGGATGAGGTCGAGCTGGAGCTCGACCTCGACGAACAGAACACTGATTGTCAGGTTTGGACTATTGTGAGTGATTTGATCTGGGCTATGTGGATGAGGCCCAATCAACCAAATTTAGTTTTAAGATGTTGTTGTGAGGTTTAAGTGGGCCGGATTTGGAGTGACAAATCCTACTCCAACAAATATATATTTCTTTTTCCGATTTTTTAAAATTTCCAAAAATTATATTATCAAGAATCTTTTTTTTTCCCTGTTTAGACCTTTTCTTCAACAACAGTGTCAAACATATAATGACATGCATTTTCTAGAAAGACAGCTACGCTTTTGGTTTAAATATTCAGACAGCACTTGAAAAAAAAACTAAACTAGTAATTAATAAAATTATAATATCAAAACAAATTAAAAATATTGAATAAAAAGTTAACATTCTCAATGGATTAGGGCCTCTGAGCCCTACAAGAGAAACTTGCCTAAACGCTAATATATTTGCGCTTCGTTTACGAAACCTCGGCCCATTATAGTAGTTTACTTTATACGATAACCGTAATCTCCACGTTCGAGATAATTAGATGACGTGGCATCACACCATGGATCTCTAATCTCATCATCGCTAATAAATATGCTACAGGCCATCTTCACGTCTTCAAGCTCTCTTTCTCTCGCTCTCTTAGACTGATAAATCACGATCTCTGTTTGTTTCTTTCCCGGCGATATTTCCCGATCCCGATCAGATGGCGAAGGATCCAGTTCGTGTTCTTGTCACTGGAGCTGCAGGTAAATTTATATATCTCCGATCTGTTATTAGTAGTGCCTTTGATCTCTGCTTAGCGAAGGCAAAGTTATTGATTCATATCGTCAGATCTCTACGTAGTACGAATGTTTTGCCAATCCGAAGATTTTACTCGATCGATGAATTATGGATAAGATCATAAGAGTCTAGTATTTTTGGATCCTACAGTGAGATCTGTGACGGAGAAATCTATTGAATATTAGTTTCGCTTTATAAAAGTATAGTTCTGACTCCGGTTTACGTTTGAATGAATCTTGCTACATGTGAGATCTATGAATGTTCTCAAGAAAGTGTCATTTTCCACTAATTATCTGTTTAATCATTTCGTTCTGATTTTGCAAGCGGATTGATATTCTGTGTATAGATCATTTGTTAATTATGTTTCTACTAATTGTGCAGGACAAATCGGATATGCTCTTGTACCTATGATCGCGAGGGGGATAATGCTTGGTGCTGACCAGCCTGTGATCCTCCACATGCTTGATATCCCTCCTGCAGCAGAAGCTCTGAACGGTGTGAAAATGGAGTTGATCGATGCTGCTTTCCCTCTTCTGAAAGGTGTATTTGAGTTATCAAATAGGTTCTATTAACATACTATTTCACTGTGAATCTTTGCTCTCGTTGGAATACCCGAATATGGTTTTGTTGAACAAGGCTGCGTTTTTTCCCCGTGACAGGTGTGGTTGCTACAACTGATGCCGTTGAAGGGTGTACCGGTGTCAATGTCGCCGTCATGGTGGGCGGATTCCCGAGAAAAGAAGGAATGGAGAGGAAAGATGTGATGTCGAAGAACGTTTCCATCTACAAGTCCCAAGCTGCTGCCTTGGAGAAGCACGCTGCACCAAACTGCAAGGTGATGATAATGAGTCTTTACGAATCATTTCTTATCAGCCGTTCATGTAGAAAGTGAAGAGAAGTTAAATCTTCATTTTACTGACATTGCTGTTCTGTGAATGAAATTTTGTAGGTTCTGGTTGTTGCAAACCCTGCAAACACCAACGCGTTGATCTTGAAGGAATTCGCACCATCGATCCCGGAGAAGAACATCACTTGCTTGACAAGGCTTGACCACAACAGGGCTTTGGGACAAGTCTCTGAGAGGCTAAGCGTGCCAGTGTCTGATGTCAAGAACGTGATCATCTGGGGAAACCACTCTTCGACCCAATACCCAGATGTCAACCACGCTACCGTCAAGACTTCTTCTGGAGAGAAGCCAGTGCGTGAGCTAGTCAAGAACGACGAGTGGTACAAAACTTTTAAAACCCCTTTTAATATCTCAATCTTATCTTCTTCGTCTATGCGCGATCCTCAAGACTAATGCTTTGTAGGTTGAATGGAGAGTTCATCACTACCGTTCAACAACGTGGAGCTGCCATTATCAAGGCGAGGAAGCTATCTAGTGCTCTCTCTGCAGCTAGCTCAGCTTGTGACCATATCCGTGACTGGGTCCTTGGAACACCCGAGGTTCATCATTCTACTGTTTAATTTCGAATCAGTTGATTGTTTTGTGTACTAAGAAACTAAATATCTTGGTTCAAATTTCTCAGGGCACATTTGTTTCAATGGGAGTATACTCAGATGGATCATACAACGTTCCATCTGGACTTATCTACTCTTTCCCCGTAACCTGCCGTAACGGAGAGTGGTCTATTGTCCAAGGAAAGCATTTCTTCTTGAAATCAAAACATAACAAAATGTTTTTAAGAACCAGAGAATGTTCTGATGTGTGGTGTTGTTTGTTGTTCACAGGTTTACCGATTGATGAAGTATCAAGGAAGAAGATGGATTTGACAGCAGAGGAGTTGAAGGAAGAGAAGGACCTTGCTTACTCATGCCTCTCTTAGACCGGTTATTATCAAGCCGGTTTTATCAGTGAGATGATAAAGAGCTTTTGTTTCGAATAAAGAGATGTTTGTTATAAATCCAAAGAACTTTGAATAACCTCTTTCAGGTTAAGAGCAGAGCAGTACTTGGTTTTTAATATTTATGATGTGTTCGCTGATTTGCTGATCATATAAACCAGCATTTTTATCATTGGTCCTCTCTTTCGGTTTTGTGGCTTTGGTTTGGTTTTTCCTTTTCTGGTCGTTGGCTTTTGTTTTTCATAACTGAAAAAGAACTTGAAATTTTTTAGGTTTTGAACATAGAGTAATAGCACAAAATAGCGTAAGACTGGTAGTCAATTGAGCGATGAGCGATCGACACATGCAAATTTTAGGTCCAAGCATGAAATTATTTTACCACTTATGTTTTCGCTTTTGTCTTTATGCGTTCAATCGAAATATTACTTTTTTTCTCTTCAAATCTAAATTACTTATTCATAAAACAAGACGAAACGAAGGGATACGAAAACTAAAAATATTTTACTTTATTTAAAATAGTTGTAACTTATTTTCTTTGTTAAAAATAGAAAGGCATATCAATATCGCGCCTGTTGCTTTCACGGTACCCTATAACATCACTTCGCCGATTGATTTACCTTATTTCTGATACTTCCAAAGTTTAATTGATACTGTTGGACGAAACAGAGTGAGAGGCAACCGCAAGCGACATCCGGTAGATCTTAGCGATTTAGACGCCGATAGGTTATTTTTCAGGTAATCTCCAACCGTCTTCTAATTGTGAGACCATCAGGTCTCGCTATTATGTTATTTCCCTTTAAGTTACCACTTTCACTCGCCGCTAGGGATTCTCTTGGTTTGTAGCAACAATTGTCAGAGATATTCATTTTGCATGTTGTTTTCTTTTCTGATTTTCTTTTTAGACATGTAGTTCGAACCGAGACAAGTTTGGATTGATGGATTTTCAAATTCCCTGCAAAACTATATTTTCCTCTGTGCTCATTCAGATTCAATAGCTAAAACTTCCCCCTGAGAAATAGGCATCCATCTACATTTCTGAATGTTTATGAATCCGGTCGGCATTTAAGATTTACAAATAGAGTCCATATTTGCACATGGCTTGCATTGTCGATAAATGGACCTTCATATTCTTTTATCCGGCTCTATAATTTAAAATGATCTCACCATGTCTTTATTTTTGGTAACGGAAATCAGCACTCTCACAGCACCACATGTCTGTTTATAAACCCTTATCACTAATTGTAATATATGTATCGTAGACTGACATCGGTTTGTAATCAGCATTCGCAGGATGGAACCAAACGATCTCCCCCTTCGCATCTTCGCTGATCAGCAGGAGCCGGTGGGAGAGAGAGTGAACTCCTACTTCAAGCTTGAAACCATTGGTGGTATCCTCAAAGCACTCAATCCGGACGAATTAAACATGATCCGCCCGCGGTTCGGAAAATTGTTAGACCTCTATCACAAAACCGCTCACTCTGGAAAACTTGCCCACTTTCTCCTAACGAGGCAGCTGAAGACCGACAAAAGACACGAACTCTGGTTCGTATTTGGGATCTCGACTCTGCCGGACAGGTAACTTCATTATAAACCCGGGTAGCCCTGTATCTTATGTTATATATCTCCAACAATGTAATCAGATACCCGAATATATGGATGTCTAAGTTTGAGCTTGTAGGTGGTCGTGACTTCAATAATCGAAGGCGAATTCGATGGAACTCCCCAAAGTGCCTTCGCATGGGCCGATGAAGTAGATGACCCCAAGGTGGATCACATGGAGATGCTATCTTCACCTTGCAGTCTTGTTTGTTCCTATTTATGGCATGAACATCTATCTTCACCTTGCAGTCTTGTTTGTTCTTGAACACATGCCCCAAATACAGCTAATCTCCTTTATATGCCACATCTAATATGACATTCTCTGTTTGATCCAATCCTGAGTAAACCCGTCCATCAAATACATTAGATGTCTTTAACATTTTTTACTCTTCAATGTAGTGTTCTTTTAGCAGCCATTCAGATAATCGTCCATCATATTTAATAACACTCTACTAATATTAATAGACAATTATATAGCCTCATATACTAACATATATTATAGTTATAGGAGCAACATAAAAATCTATGAAAGAAAATAACACACTATAATATAATTTACGGGTACGCGATCCGCTGAGTTAATATAACAATCTATGGAACAACATAACTTTCGGAGATGAATATAACACTCCATTAATATTAATAGACATCTATAATACACTTTTATCATTACAAATCCCCATCATTTTCAAATAACCCGTTACAAGTTTATATCCGGCCTGCACTAAGTTTATATCCATCCAGCAACACAAATCGCCACCTCCCCCCTACGAGAATGTTGTTATTAATAACAGAAGCACTTCAATATTAGACATAGATATTCATAAACGAAATGCATGGACCAGAATATATGTATACCTGCTCTAACCAGTTGTAGCTCTACCTGAAATTAGAGGGAGGAAACCACTATTTATGGATATTCCACATACCTAGGTGTACCCAGATATTTACATTTTCCCGCCCACCCACTAAAAAAATCTTGTTCTAGCATGACTAATTCACAATAACTATCCATCCCTTCGGAATATCTCATCATATGTCAGACGGCTTGAAGATTATCTTGTCTCCCCATTTAATGTCATCCGACGGCTATCTGATCTTGCCAATATCTCACCCAAATTAATTCAATTGTTCTAGACATATTCAGGTTAATAGCCAGAACCACGCGCAGTCCATGGCACTCCGCGTAATTAGATGAATTTTTTTTTTTCAGCATCCTTTAGCCATTTCCTTCTAACGTATGAATGATTTGTTGTTTTGCTAATTATATACTCAAATTTAGCCATCCACCTCTTTCTCCCTTGAACATATGGGACAAAAATTTGCTGGGTTTTACTTTGCTTTCTGTCTCAGGTGGCAAAAAAAAAATTGTTAAGCGAACATTAGAGAGCGTATGAGAATATGAAATTTTCAAATAGAGAGTTCCTTTTCTTTCAAAGCAAATCGATCCAACTCTGTCATCCGATTCTCCGAAATCATTGTTTCTATATAATCAAGGTCCCCACTCTTTTAAATGAGATCTTTGAGGATTCATACAAATCAACCACTTAGCATCGTTATTCTTGACGAGTTACTAAATTAGAAATTGTTTTCTTATCTTATTTCCCCGGTTTAGTTGAATATTGGGTCACAAAAGTTTAGAACGCCAATTTCAGATAAAATTCTTGTAATCTTGATGCATTGTCTCGCAAGTCTTTGAGGATTCATACAAATCACCACTTAGCATCATTATCTTTGATAAGCTACTAAATTGGAAATTGTTTTATTATGTCATTTCTCCGGCTTGATTGAATATCTCTATAACTTTTCATTGTAAGTTGTTGGGTTATAAAGGTTTAGAACGGCAATTTCAGATAAAATTCTTGTGATCTTGATGCATTATGTCGCAAGGGCTTGTAACTCTATTTTGCTCAAGCTTAGTAAAACTTTTGTTGGTTCGATGATAACCAAAGCATAAGCTAATGAAGCCATCAATCTATACTATTAAAAGAAAAGTAATAATTTTAAATGTCCAAAAGCTACCATGGTATTTACTAAATATGTCATTGAATTTCCTAAAAAATTTAATCATTTCATTAAGTGTAATTTCATTATATGGTTAACAAATGCATTAAATTAAATTGAACTATATTAGTTTGTTAGCATAATTTAATTTAATTTAATTTCGAAATTATTTCAGAATCTTTCATATTATCATATAATATCTTAATATAATTATCATATATAGGGCATGAATAACTAATATAATTAAATATATATTATATTATAAATTAAATATATATATAATATTATAATCAATTTTCACTATCTATTAAAAAAGAAGCATTGTTTTAAAATATCAAAAACTATCATAGTATTTACTAAATGTGCCAATTTATAGTCAATGATGAATTTGTAATAATTATTTTTTGGTTACATATATACTATCAAAAAATATTATGTAAATAAATTATTTTTCTGGGTTATTAACAATTTTTTAATTAATAAAAATCTCCAAAAAATAGTTCAAAGTTTTTTTCATTTTTTTCTTCTTTCAAAATATATATTTTATCAAAAACAATTATGATTTATTATTGATAAGTTTACAACAACAAACGAAAATTATATAACATAATCCGTAATCTTATTTTTTATTGGATTTAATTTATACATTTGAAAAAGATAATTTTTTAACAGATATTTCACATCTAATTTTTTTTTTAAAAATATATAATATAATCGTTATGATCATAATAATTTCTATCACACTCTATACTAATTGCATAATCTTATGACGATTTTAGCTTAAAAAACAACTAATATATTTGGTATAATATTCACGAACCGCGTTTTAAAAAAAAATTATAATTACAAAACCACATAATTTATGGATATAAATCTGCTTGAGTTTTTTTTTTAACATATTTTTTCAGGTATTCTTAAAGAGAATTTTCATAAATATTGATTGAGAACTAAAAAAAAAATCACGGGTGTTCACATGTGACTCAATAGAAGTACTCTTCAAATGATATTCAGAATCAGATATCTTAGTTATATGTATTATCATCTTTAATTGTATATAGATGATCCTTAATGGGTTTCGTGATTTCTTCTTCTCAAATGATTTAACAATAAGATACTAGGTTCTATAGAAGCTTTTTGAATCAAAATCGTGAAAAATTACTGATTTATGAAGCAAAGAATCGAAGCTAAAAATCAAAAAAAGATCTCAGTCGCGAACTGTAGAATTTGAGAGTCCAATTTGAAAAAAAAGGATTATGTTTACATGTGTTGCTATTAGATTAATAAAAAAAAACACTTCTCGAATGTGCTTAAATGTTAGATAAAAAAATTTGGTCTAGACTTCAAAATAAAACACTGGTCCAGAATGTTACTAATAAGTT